TTAAGTCCATTATTTCTTTACTAATTTTCTGTTTGGAGGATCTGTCCTGTGCAGTCAGTGGGGTGCTGAAATCTCTGGTTATTATGGAGTTGCTGTTAATCAATTTGCTTAGATCCAGTAAGGTTTGCTTTATGAATCTGGGTGCACCTAAGTTGGGTGCATATATATTTTAAATTGTTATATCTTCTTGTTGAACTGTACCCTTCACCATTATATAATGACCATCTATGTCTTTCACTACTTTTGTTGGTTTAAAAACTAAATCATCTGAGATCAGAACTGCCACACCAGCCTTCTTTTGGCTTCTGCTTGCTTGAAATAGTGATTGATCTCCACCCCTTTACTTTTAGTCTGTATGCATCCTTGCAAGTTAGATGTGTTTCCTGAAGACAGCAGATACTTGGTTTGTATTTTTTTATCCATTCAGCCAGCCTATGTCTCTTGAGTGGGGAGTTTAAGCCATTCACCTTTATTGAGAGAACTGATAGGTGAGGCAGATTACTGTTCATTCTGTTGGGTTGGACATTGTTGCTTTGTTTTCTCTCTTGAGCCATTGTGATATCTGGCCTTTAATCTTTAGGTTTTGAGTGTCTTTATGTTCATGAGTATTTATTATGCTGTTCCGTGTGTAACACTGTTCTGAGTACTTCTTGTAGGGTTGGTCTTGTCTTGGTGAATTCCCTCAGACTTTGCTTATCTGAGAATGTTTTAATTTCTCCTTCATATATAAAGCTTAGTTTTGCAGGGTACAAGATGGTAGGCTGGGCATTATTTTGTTTCTAAAGAGTGAGAATGGGGCCCCAGTCTCTCCTTGCTTGTAATGTTTCAGTTGAGAAATCTAGCATTATTTGGATTGGTTTTCCTTTGCATGTAACTTGCTTCTTTCGCCTTACAGGTTGTAGGAGGGTCTCTTTTGTTGATATTTTGGTCAGTCTGATGACTATGTGTTGTGGTGTTTTCCTGTTTGCATTGTATCTCCCAGGGGTCCTTTGGGCCTCTTGGATTTCTAATTCTAAATTATTGGCCAGACCTGGGAAATTTTCCTCAATTATTTCTTCAAATAGCTTATCCAACCCTTGGTTTTTTTTCTTCCTCCCTCTCTAGAACCCAGTGGAGCCACAGGTTATATTTCTTCATATAATCCCACAATTCTTGTAAGCTTTGCTCATGTCTCTTATTCTTCTGGTCTATCTCTGATTAACTTATTTGATTTGAAGGTGTTATCTTTAATCTCTGAGATTCTTTCTTCTGTTTGGTCCACCCTATTTTTGAGGCTTTCCACTGTATTTTGTATTTCCCTGAATAAATTCTTCATTTCCAGGAGATCGGATTGATTTTTCTTTAAGATCTCAATTTCCTTAGTGAATTTTTGTTCCAAGTCCTGAATTTTCTTTGTGGTTTCTTTGTGTTGGTTATCCATTTTTTCTTACATATCATTGAGCTTTCTTACAATCCAATTTTGGAATTCTTTTGTCATTTTATTGTTTGGGGTTTGGTCAGTATCCATTTCTTGAGAGCTGATGTATCTCTTTGGGGGAGTGTTTTTGGTTTGATACTTCATAGTTCCAGAATTCTTTCACTGAGCCCTTCCTATCTGGATCAGCTGATGTTTTTTCGTATGGTGCTCAGGGGTCCTCTCTTCTATGGTTTCTTGATCTGCCACTGGGGGGAGCTCTTCCACCACACTTGGAAGATACCCCTGATGGCAGGGTTTACTTGTGGAGCCTATTGTGGCCTTTTGCAGTGGATTTGTTCCTTGACCACAGCCCTGACTGTTGGCCACTGACGAGGGGAAGAGATCTAGCCCCAGCATTTTGATCAACTGGGTGACCTAAACTGTTCTGGGAAGCAAAAGCATTTTACTGCCCACTTTCGATCTGCACGCAGGCCCAGCAGATTCACCCTAGATCAGAGGGAGAGTGGCTTTTTTTGTCTTACCCCACCTCCAGGGGTGGAGCCAACCACTCCACTCTCTCTTTGGCATGAGAGATGCAGGCTAGGGGGAAGAGGTAGCTCCCCAGTCTGCACTGCACCCCAGTGACTGTAACTCCCCTTGACATTAGTCTTCTCAGTAGCCAGGCCTGGCTAGCCAATCGCAGATTGTGTAGGGGTGGAATTTGTCAGGAGAATCTCTAGGCTGAGGGAGGGGATCTGCCTGCTGCACCATATCACACCAAGCAGCTGGGCTGTGGACCCCCTCAATGGTGACCGCTTGCCCACTCCCAGGGTACCAGCACTGGGGACTACTGTTTAGGAGGTGCCGGGTTGGAGGTCTGAGTCATCAGGATGCCCCATTGCCACCTCTATGACACCTTCCCACCAGATTAAGCCTGTTCAGCCATTGTTCAGTCCCCTACTTAGTGAATAGCTCTGTAGGGCTGGCCCTACTCTTTACCAGAGGCAACATATCTAACTGCTAAGGCATATAAGAAATATTTTCAGAAGAAAAACTGTGAAATGAAGGCTTTCTTCATTAAAAAAACCTTAGTGTGTTCTCTAATGAATACTTACTAGAAAAGAAGGAGAGACAATGAAATGGTTACTTGGCAGCAGGAGAGATGAGGATCAAATAAGATTAACAGCAGAAACTAATAGGGGCAAAACTTGGTCACTCTGGTAATCGTTATAACCTCTTTGGAATATTAAGGTCTCAGGATTGAGAAAAGATACCCTCTCAAAGCTACCTAGTTTTTTCTTTGGACCCTGATGAATCCACAAGAAAAAAAAATTTAGAACTATTTTGGAAGTTGAAATGGCAAAGAACAGACTGAGTAAAACAGTTTAAATTACATTTTTCTTTGCTGATTCACAAAAATTAGAGTTACATGCTTGTATTTAGACTAGGCCAAGGGGCAGCTCTTCAGTGCCTGGGAATGTTGATAGTTAAGAAATTTCAAACCTACAAATTTAGAAGTGATTGAAATAGTCATTTGCCCATTTTTTAATTGAGTTGTTTGTCTTTTTGATGTTGAGTTCCTTGTATATTCTGGGTACTAAACTCTTATCAAATGATTTGCAAATATTTTTTCTGAGTCTGTAGTTTGCCTTACTTTCTTGATAGTATCTGTTAAAGTTAAAAACAAAGGTTTTTAATTTTGCTGAAGTCCAGTTTACCTACTTTTTTCTTTTGGTGTGATATCTAAGAATCCATTGCTAAATCAAAGGTCATGAAAGTTTACCCATGTTTTCTTCTAGGAGTTTTATGATAACTCTTAGATCCATTTCTAGTTAATTTTAATATATAGTTAGAGGTAGGGGTCCAACTTTACGCTTTTGCATGTGAAAATTCAGTTTTCTCAGCACCATTTGTTGAAGAGGCTATTCTTTCAACCATTGTGAAAAAACAGCTGGCTATTTTATATCAGGGTTTATTTCTGAGCTGTCTATTCTATTGGTATTATGTGTCTAACCTAATGCCAATACCACACTGTTTTGGTTACTGTAGTTTTGTAGTAAGTTTTGAAATTGGGAGGTGTGAGTCTTCCAATTTTGTTGTTCTGCAAGCTGGACTTGGCTTTTCAGGCCCCTTTACATTTCTATATGACTTTGAGTATCAGCTTTTCCATTTCTGCAAGTGAATAACTTTTTTTAAGCCGCCTTTTCAGATTCTGTTTTGAGATTCATCCATATTGGTACATAGACATTTACCATACCATACATAGATATATTTGCTGATATACCCTTATAATCCATTGTCTGAATAAACTTCAGTGTATTTGTCCTTTTTCCTATTGAAGTACAGTTAGATTGTTTGCAGTCTTTTACTTTAACAAGCAGTGCTCACTCTTGTGCATGCTACTTGTTCGAAAGTTTCTTTGGGATAGTAATTCTCAACCAGGGGTGATTTTGCCTGCCAGGGAACATTTGGCAATGTTGGAAGACATTTTTGATTATCAAGACTAGGGGAAGGGGTGCTACTGGCATCTTGTGGGTAGAGACCAGAGGTGCTGCTAAACAAAGAATTACCCCACAACAAAGAATTACTCAAATTATCCAAAAATCTTAATAGTGCCAAGGTTGAGAAACCCTGCTCTGAGGCATATACTCATAATCTAAGCTTTATCAATGCTACTTATGTGCAATGTTTTTATTTTGTTATGATATGAAATAGGTTTCTATAAAACAGAGAAAGTATTTCCAATATAGGTGAAGGTTTGGAATATTTGGAATTAAAATTAAAGCTGCTTCAGCAATGCTAGCAATCCAATCTAATCCAAATCTAAGCAATTTAGACATCTCAACCAGATTGAGTAGCAACATTATCCAGAGTTAACTAGTTCATTCACTTATTTGGAGTCTGTATATAATCTTTATGAACTGAAATACATTAATACTTCCTGCTTGATTAAAAGATTGATTTTAGAATGAGAGTCTGTTTCAGAGAAGTGGCATTTGTGCAGACAGGAGAGTTGTAGTATTAGGCTAAACATGCTACCTGAATCAGAGCAAAGTTATAATGTAAAAGCACACAGTTTTTCCTGAAAAAGATGGTTGTTAAATATTGAAGGCTTAAATGTTTATAAAGTTTCTATTGCTCTTGTGTGTTTTAAATTAAATTTTAAACTGAACATAGGAATGAACTAAATGAATTTTGAAACTCACTTTTTGGCCCATAAGACCAAAAAGTGGACTTTGAGAATCTGATACAGTACATACTTCTGTGCATACAGTTTTGCATGTGGTTTTGGATGGTTTATGCATGCTCTTGAAGCCCATCCATAGCCTACTCCATTCCCCAGTGATTTCCAGGTTGAGAACTTTGCTAAAAGTATTTCAAGAGTTACAATAATATATATATGTATATTTATTTATAATTATTACTGAATAGTAAAAACAATATTTTTTGTATCTTCCTGACCAAATGCAGAAGATTGAGTAATAGAGAAGAATAGGTGACTTGGAATTAGAATTCATCAAGCCCTCCAACATTAAGTAAGTGAACAAAGGTATTATTTTAACTCTACATCTGTGACCTTCACTTTTGTTTCTCTTTTTACTAGATGTATGCAACAGTGTTATGGCAACAAGCTAACGAAAACAGACAAAATTCAACTGAGAAAGCATGTTTTGGCATCTCTCTCCCAGAAGAAAAACTTAATGACTTTCGTGATGAACAGATTGGACAGTTGCAGGAGCTGATGCAAGAAGCTACTAAACCCAATAGGCAATTTAGTATGCCTGAGTCTACAAAACCAAAATTTTAGTCTATGTAATAAAGGTTAATGAAGCATGTAAAATTCAGAACCCCCCCCCTTTTAAACTGTCATTGGTTTTTAAAATGATTTGAGTTTTGAGAATGCCTTATGTTAATGAAATATTCATTTATTTTTGGATGTTATGAATGCAATATATGGATCAACATTGTTGGTGACAGTTAAACTCAATGACATTATCACAATAACAGTACTTGTTTGGGTGGAATTTGATTTGGGGGCTAAACATGAAAGAATGGTTCTAAAATGGATAGACGTCTAGTATTTTGTTGAAATTTTTTTATATGTAAATTTTTAAAATGCTGTGCTTGTTCAAGCATTAGCCTCAAGGCTTTTCTTTAGCTTCATCAGGTTAGTATATCCTGATAATAATAATAGATGTAGAATTCCAACAAAGTAATTGTTAAAATACATTGTCATTCTGAACATATCATTTCTACTTTAATAATACATACATGATTTTTTTTTCTGAGTGCCCTCTCCCTGAGTCACTGATTATTTGCAATGAAAGGTTAAAGAGAAGCTTTAAGGTTCAGTATTATCCTACCATTTATATAATAGAGTACACAAAGTAGAATACGTTTCTACAGTGTTTGTTAATAACAAATGACCCCTTAAATAATTTGTGATTACTTTGAGAATCTTATGTATTGACCAATGATTGGGAAGATTAAAAGCATTTTCATAAAATTTTCTTAGGCTTGATTTATGAATTTAAAAAAATCAAATGGTAATCCCATTCATGTCATAAAAATGTGAATTTTTGAATATATTACAAGCTTAGGTGAATTTTATCTTCAGTTGTTGCTATGGTCCAAATATTTGTGTCTCTTCAAAATTTTTATGTTGAAACCTAATCCCCACTATCAGGTGATTAGGTCATGAAGCTAGGGCCCTCATGAATGGGATTAATACCTTTATAAAAAGAGGCCCGAGAGAGATCTCTTGCCCTTTTCATCATGTGAGGACATAGTGAAAAGATGGCCATCTGTGAAACAGAAAGTGAGTGCTCACCAGAGTTGAGCTTGGACTTCCCAGCCTCTAGAACTGTGAGAAATATATATCTCTTGTTCCTAAGACACTTAGCCTATGGTAGTTTGTTAAACCAGCAGCCCAGAAAAAGACAGTTATGGATGTTTACCCTGAGATTCTGAAGTGATCATTTTCTAGATGCACTTGCACTTATGTCAGCTCTTTAAAAACTGATCCATGTTTTCTCTCATTTGCTCTCATGTGCTCTTTGTATATGGCTGCTAGGGCGCCCTAGTTCGTTCTTTCATCCCTCTTTGCATCTGTCAGTTGATTAATTATTGGTTATATATCTTTCAATGAGAAAAAGACCAATTAATCTCTCTATAATAGGCTTCAAGGATACAACAATACATAATAAGGTTCCTGCCCTCAAGAATTTTAAAATATAATGTATTCAGGAACCCTGTTTTATCATGAACAAATACATTCTCTTTACAGTGTTATTTTTTTCATCTTGTCTAATAGAAACCTAGTGCCTGTTGAGGACATGGCTTCTCTGTAGTCTTACGAAATGGGAGTTGTGGATTTTCTTTTTTTTTTTTTTTTAAACAGAGTCTTACTCTGTTGCTCAGGCTGGAGTGCAGTGACTGTCTCATATAGCTGTCTCATATAGCTCACTGCAACCTCCAACTCCCAAGCAATCTTCCTGCCCCAGCCTCCTGAGTAGCTGGGACTACAGGAGTAAAAATTAAAAGTCTGAAAATATGTAGATGCGCCACCCTTTGCTATCGCACTCGCTTCGGCTACTGCTGTTGTTCACCCAAGAATGAAGATAATACGCTCCTATTCTGAGCCCTAGTAAGCTCTTCGTATAAAAACTAATACTGAATTTATTTTCTTAAATAATAACATTGAAATTTCTAAACAGGAATTGCATCCAAGTCATAATATGAATGCCCATTATATTTTTTATTAAGTTTATATAGATTCTTTTTTCCTCTTCTTTAAAATTATGGAATTAACCGCACTTGCTAGATGAACAAGTAGTTAAAAACCCTATGGGCAAGTGCAAAATAATTAGATTGTAGACAAAATCGGTACGGAATTTAATAGCAAGCTTTTTACAAGTTCTTCCATAAGATTTCATAGAAAATGAAATCGAAAGACAAATTAAATTTATTTTCAACTAAGCACCCTCAGTTCAAGACACTTTGTAAGTGATGATACCACCCAGTCTATCGCTAAAGAATGGGGTCCTGGGAATTAACCATGTCATTGGCATCTTTTTTACATTAACAGCAGAAAAAGGGTGCCTGTAAAGATTTATTTCAGGATTACAAACAAAAAGAGGTCAGAAGGAGCCAAATTAGCTAGTAAGGTAGATGCCCTACGATTCTCATAGAAATCTCACGAATTGACCCTTGGTTTGACTGAAGAGAAGAATGAGCACAGGAGCGTTGTGGTAGAACAAGGACTCTCCGAAGCTTCTCCCAGTGTTTTCTGCTAAAGCTTTGGCTAACCTTCTCAAAATACTCTCACAATAAGCAGTTGTTTTTGGCATCCCACAGGTCTTTTGCTGATTCCTTCTCATGCTGGCTTCTCAGATTAGTCTTGGGGTACTAAGCACCCGCCTGGCTTGCAGTCCTCTTCTACCCGGGTCGGGGGAAACCAACTCCCCTGACCGTGCCAGGAGAAGAGTGCTGGCCCCAGTTGCTATGGCTGTTGTTTAAAGCAGGTTTGACTGAACCTCCACAGTTGGCTCTGTCTTGCTGCCTTCATCTTTTTTCCAGCAGTGCCCCTGGATTGTGTTGGGCCGGCAGCTTCATCTCCCGCGGATTGGCAGCGTGGTCACTTGTGAATATGAATCAGCCCCATGTTCACTCTAACTTGGAAGGCTGCGACTTGGAGCTATAGAATGTTCTCCCCTGTCATTGGTTGATGTTATCGTGAAAGAAAGCCATTGTTGAGTACATTCTTTGGTCCATGGTAGGCCTTTGGTCACCCAAGTGGAGTACTTGAGTGCCCCAAGCTTTAAGAGGACCCTATAGCTTCCCAGGGGTTTGCATTGATCTCTGCTGCCACTGAAATGGGGGGAGACAATGCAGTTGTGGGCTAGGTGCAGGAAAGCTTTCTCTTGCAAAGCCTCAGCGGGGCTCAGCGATTCTTTTCTGTCACCTAGGGGAAGCCCACTGGTAAGATGGGTCGAGGACAACTCTCCAAACTGGGAATCTTTCACCCTGTCTAGTAGTTGCAGTTTTTTCTGCAGGAGGTGGGCGGTCTCCCAAATCGCTTCTCCCTGGTCCGCAACCACTTATGCTTTAGTCCACATGTGGTTCTAGGCCAGCTCTCAATCAACCCCTATGCTGTGTGTCTGACCCACCGGCTATGCTGTCTCTGCCTAAAACACCGTGGGCATGGGAGTTCCCAGAATCGTGCACGCTGTTACCCCGTACACGTCCTCAACAGGAAAGATGGGCGGGCTCTTCTGTGGGGACTTCAGCCAGGAGCTCATCGCCCGCTGGAGGAGAAGCAGCTCTCGTGAACTTCTCCACGCCTCAAACTGCTCTCCTGTTGTAATGAGCGGAGGAAGGGCCGCCAGCCATGCTCCGCACAAGCGCCACTGAGTAGAGGCCATTTGTTGCTCATGGAACACGGGGTAGGCTATGATCCCGACATCGCCACATCCCTTATACCAATAGGCAAATTCTCCACCGGAAGGGATAGGGTACGCTCCCAGAACTTTCTCAGCTCCACATACTCTCCATCAGACTATGTCCTGGCAGTTCCTTGCATTCCATCCTGGCCGCATTCCCTGTGTCCCCTCGCATCCTCTCGTGTCCCTGGGCACTGGGACTGCGCTTTGCTCACCCTGCGGTGCCAGGTTGTGTGACCCATGAAACACCAGCAGCGCAGGGGGTTCCTAAATTGTGCACCCTTCGTTTAGCATAAGTCCTCCAAGGGACAGAGGTGTGCGGGGCCCACTCTCTTGGAGACCTCCAGCCTGGAGTGCACACCTGCCCGGAGGAACAAGCCATCGCAAACTCTGCTTACCACTACCCTCCACGAGTTGTAATGGGTAGGGAAGGGGCCTGGCTCCTGCCAGCCCTGAGCTCTGACCTGCTGTCTCAGTTGCAGGGGCTAGGGGCCGGTGCAGGGGACGGAGCGTGTCTGGATGGAAGAAAGCTGCGCATGCGCTGGCCCTCCGCCTCATAGGACTCCCCAGAGGCTCCTGGGGCTTGCTATTTCAACACCAGTGGTTCCTTATTTGCTGCCGTGCCTGGCTCAGGGAGGGTGGAAAAAAGCCTTTTATCCCAGTTTGGTGTACCATCAGTCGAATAATATTCACGTTACCCAAAACGCTATGGAAAAGACTCTTCCTTTCCAACTGTCTTATCGATGTCAACGCTATAATTCTTCTTTCAGGTATTTCCAACTTATGTATCTCAGACAGTATGAAGAAAATCCATTTTGTTTCCTAGTAAGCCGACATTAGATTTGCAGAAATGTAAAGCAATAAATATTCCACTTCTTCAATGCAGCGAACTTTTAACATACAGAATCTCAATGTAAATATGCTCATTTACCTTTAGATTTATTGGTTTGTTTGTTTTCAATGATTTTAAAATTTTTATTTTAATTGCAATAAATTGTACACCACTGCATGGGGTGCCAGTATGGTGGTTTTCGATACATGTTATACATTGTCTGATCAAATAGGTAATTAGCCAAAATCCGTTCTGCTGCAGACATTTGATCATTTTCTTTTCAATGAGAACATTCAGAATTCCTCTTTTCTAAGCTGTTTTTGGAATATACATTTTATTGTTAACTATAGTTTTAATATCAGAATACTGTGTAATTGAAGACCACTAACGTATTCCTTCTTATTTAACTTATAACTTGTTACATGTTGCCAATACACATCAACACTCAACCTCTCAACAACATGATCTACACATCACAACATCTAAACACACTCCACTCACTATCCAATATCCCATAAACCCTGATATCCAAATCCGTAATCAATATTAGATTCCACTAATATAAGAGTAAGATCAAGCAGTATTTTATTGTCTTTCCCTGAGGTCTGAAACTCTATTCTCACACCTCAAATTCTCACATCATTAGTAGCACCAGCTATACATCGTACCATCCTCACCCCAGCCCATCAATTTCAATCCACCTTTTCGGCACACGATTTTCAACATCCCCTACAGCAATTAAACCTCTTTTCTTTATGGCTGAAATATGAACTAAAGAAAAAACCACTCCAAACCTACATACCAAAGACACCTACCATCATACACCACCCAACCACCAAAAACCACACCCATATCTCATCGTCGTCACCCTACTGTACCACCATTTCTAATTTTATTAATCCCATCTTAAATTCATAACATACGTTTGACCTCTCCAGACGCATTTTCAAGCCTTTGACACACCTATATCATTATTTTCGTTTTCACTTTATAGCGATAGAATAATGCCCTACCGCAAAATACAAAACACCCACATGAGGCCATAAACACAATCAACAAACGAAAACATCAACGCCATAATCCGAACTATAAATAACCACTAAAAGATTTTCTATCAAAAACAGTTACCCCACTCTACCATATTCCTGTTACATACCAGTAGCATGAATGCTCAGATCCATAATGGCAGTTCTATTTTTAATGTATATTTTGAGAATTACCATAATACCAATTCCATCAATGGCATGTACTCAATTTACAGTCCTCATAACAAAAAAAACAGAAAATGTATACAAACAACGCACTGTTCCCATTTCATTCAAATGATGCCCTAATATCACCAAACACTTTACTTTTTTGTCTTTTTGATATAATCCATTTCTAGCTGAAGTTGGGGGTGTAGTCACATTGTGATTTTGTATTTGCATCTTCTCATGGTGATTCAGGGAAATCTGACCACAAATTATAAATTATTATTTAATAACGAAAAAATAAACAACACAAACAAGTAGTGAACAATAAACCCCAAAATACCCCTGTATCACAACTTCATTATCACATTAATATGACAGAGATGTCAGCATCTCCCTAATCCAGCGTCTACGGCTTGAACAACTTAATCAATTCCCTTGGATCCCCACTCCCTAAAATATACAAAAAAAAACACTTATTTGGGGTTTATTATCCCCACAACACACCAGCAGTTACAGATTACTTACGTCCTCTGAGAGTTCAGCTTGACTTTTGATTATTTGACAACAAATTCCTCCATGTGCATATTCTAAAACCTCAAACAAACGAATACAGAAAAATGATAAACAACAACAGCTCTGCATACATAGAATTGACCACTTAAAGCTCACTCCATGACCCCAGTTTTCTCACTCACACGCCCATTCTCCTATAAGGCCATACATAACAACTCTTCACTCTTGCCCTTTCTATATTGCTTCCTTCATGCCTCTGTTCGCAGAAACTTTCTCTTTAAACCATGATGTCAACCATCACCCACTCAATTTCTATCCACCCTGACTCCCAAATACATACCTCCTCTTTGTATAATCCTGCCTGCCCATCTTAATAGGCATCATACCACCCACTCCCAATAAATACCAAAAAC